TGAGGGAACATGAAAGAAGGACTCTACGAACATGGCCTTTATATTATAAATGTCTTGCACATTCCCATGTTGCTGAAATTGGAGAACAGCTCACCCTCTGCAGGTATTTTCCACCACCAGCTTTCTGGCCTTCCACTTAAATTTTGGGAGCAGCAGATGGAGCCTTCCTTCAGTCAAATGCCCATCAGCAGTTTTCTGCTCTGCCTCCTCCAGTGGAGAACTTACAGACTCCAAACGTCCTGCTAATGCATATAGAGCCGAGGATCCACTGCTGAAACCTGCTAATGATCATCAGAAGCATCCAGGGACCTCTGCAGCAGTCACCACGATGTCAATGCATCTCAGATTCCTTCCAAGAAGTTTAGAAACAAGGCTCTCAAAGTTTGAATATACAGCTCTGCTTCTCCAGTGGAGGAGCCAGAGCAGAAACCTACTGCTGGGCATTCAACTAACGGACGGTTCCATCACGTGCTCCCACACTGGAAGTGGCAGGACAGAAACTTTGTGATGGGAATCACCTGCCCAGAGTGAGCTTTGCTCCAGTTTCAGCAACACGGCAACGAGCACCACAAAATCCATCTTCCTACTGTTAGACTTGATATCCCTTGCCAAATCCAGACTTCTAACATCCTAATGCATGCAGATCTGAATAGACCAAGCAGAAAGCTGCTGCTGGGCATCAGAAGTAAACAGGGAGTTCTGCAGCAGTGTCCACATCATGTCTAGGCACCCCAGGTTTCCTGCCTTAAACGGTAGAAGCATGTCGGTCAAAGGACAAACATAGAGCTCTGCTTCTCCAGTGGAGGAGCCCGAGCAGAAAGCTGCTGTTGGGCATTCAATTTAAAGCTCCATCTCCTGCGCCCACAGTGGAGGTTGCAGTGCAGAAATCTGTTGCTTGGAATCAACTGCACAGACTGAGCTGTGCTCCAGTGTCAACAAGATGGCAATGTGCGTTACTTTTGTAATGTCAAGTCATTCTTCCTTCAGTTCTTATTCGATGTTCAAATAAGAGATCCAGGCGCAGTGCTCAAAGACTCCGAACGTCCATCTAATGCATATAGATCCGTGGAGCCAGAGCTGAAAGCTGCTGTTCATAGCCAGAAGCAACCAGGGATCTGTGCAGCAGTTTCACCAGCATGTCAAGGCAATCCAGCTTTCCTGCTTCACAAAGGTAGAGGGAAGGCTCTCAAAGTGCAAACATACAGCTTTTGCTTATCCAGTTGATATGACAGAGCAAAAACCTACTGCTGGGCATTCACCTAAAGGCTCCAACCCCTACTGCCATATTGGAGGCGACACAGGAGAAAGCTGGTACTGTGAATCACCTGCACTGTGAATCGACCTGTGCTTCAGTGTCGGCAATGTAGAAAGTTAGATGAGGCATAAGTTAGTTACTAGATGGGCCTTCTGATTACAGATAAAAGAGGGGATCGCGTTCTATCAACCCCTTATGGAGGGAAATAATGGAGACTTTCATATACAAAACACCCATTCAAATTCCTCCTTTTATAGGAAATGGTTTTGTAGTTGTTTCCCCTTTGTGGTGTGACTGTTACTCACACAGCAGTAACTCCTGCTTCCTGGCACTAGGTGGATCTTTTGGAACAAACTTTTCCATGTGCATGGATGCACCCAGCAAACTCCTATGTGCTGAATATAAATATCAGAAAAGTATAATAAACAGGAAAAGTGGATAGAAGAGAGAAAAAAGCAAACACTACTCATTCTGTTAAGTCCTTATTCCTTTACCACCTGGGCCACTTTGGTCACCAGCTGACCTGAAGTACAGGTTCATCAGCATGAGGGTGGGTTACAAAGAGACAGATTTTGACCCTAAAGTCATTATAATTGCACAAATGTGTACAACTTAGATAGTAAAATTTCTCAAAGCATTTTATTGGACTGTGACTTTCAAAGAGATATTCCCTACTGGATAACTCTGACTCAGTTAATCACGATGTCAGTCAACATTTAGGAGACTTTGAAAATTTTATTAAATTGTGACTATTTTAGTGTGAAGACTTTGCAATATCTGGGATATTCAAAGTATACCTTTTTGTAGCTCTCTGAAAAACAGGTTGCTGGCATGAAATTCTGCTTACTTCTTCCATGAGACTTCTAAAGCTTTAAGAATAAAACAGTTCTCTGTATTTAAGTTTGCATCACCCATATCAAGACTTACAGGATGTTTCCATACTACAGGTGGGTGTAGCAGCAGATGCTAAAAACAGGGAGGCCATAGCCCACACCTCAGCTTGTCACAGAAACAATTACAAGCTGGTATTTCTGTTCCAAAAATCCACAAAAGCGTAACTGCTTCAATACTATTCATCCTGGTGGTAAAGTACACAAATTTACATAGTGGTCATGATGTTTTAATTGTTAGTAAACACTGTGGGATGTAAAACTTGTACTTCCAACTGGCTGCAAAACCAGCCACAAGTAACAGGAGTGGGAAACACAAAATTCCATGTGGGCCTGTGTAGACAAATTGACTGAAAGGTATTTACTACCACCCTTTTGTAGAAGATAGCACAAGGCTCAGACAAGGGTCATATGAATTTTAGTTAGCCCTCTTGCACCCTCTGAACAAAAACTAACGTATTTAAATACATTTCTTTGTTATTTTTTACGATTTATACAAGCAATAGATTTTTGAAGTATAATTGATCCTGATAATCATCCCTGTGACTGAATTAAGAAGACAAAAATTATAAGCTTTGCTGTAAAAGTATGCAGTTAAGTTTCACCATGATGACATGACATCTCATAGTAAGACTTGCTATATAGTACTATCTGTTCTGCCAATGGTTATATTCCCAATTGAAAGTAACTGATAGTTTTCTCCATCAAAGCAAGCCATGCAGCTTTCAGGCACCTGTATAGGGTGTGCCTGGAAGATAAATGCAGGCATGAATCTCTTCTGCACACTTCCCTGTGTGGGCTTGTTTGCTGGACAGCTTATATGGCGCTTAGGCATGCTGCCTGCAGGGCTTCTGCTGCTGCAGATCCTGTAAGAAATTTAGAAGAGGGAACTGGTTTGGGTCAAAGAAACACATGAGGATTTGGGGATTTTTGGAGGCTGAGGATTCGCTGTTTGCTACCCAACAAATTCTTCTTCCTGTAAGGTAGATAACAAAAACTATGTGAAAACAATGTTATATTACTTCATGAGAAAAGTTTAGGACATAAATTACACATCTGGAGCAATTAGATGGGATCTTCTCAGGCAATGTGGAACATTTGTGCAGGATGCCTCCCTAATGGCTGTGCAGTAACAAGGATGTCATGGTAATTTTTTGTATACATCTATATAACACATTTGCTCAGCTTGAGGTCTAGTGTGCTGTTGCTAAAGCCTGCGCGTCCTTTGGCTTTACTTTCCCAGCACTGTCACACCTGAATACAGTTCTGCTTTCCATGACAGGATTTCCTGGAAGCGTATCAAAGCTATCTTAGCTCTAATAATTTGTTTGGCAGCGAATTGGCTGTGAAATACTCCATCAGATTTCAGTCACCTAGCATGCAGTGTGTCCCCAGCTTCTCTAGCTCTGTCACTCCAGCTTGGTAAATTCAGGTTTTTGAAACAGTAAGAGACATCACCATGTGATGAGCAAAACAATATGGGAGGAGGAAAACCAAATAAAGCAGAGAGTGGTTCTGGCTTCCAAATTTATTCCCATTTCCTAATTTTGACCAAGCAGTGACCAAGCATTGACCTTGTGACATTTTTCCTACCACAAATTATCATTTTGACCTGCTTTTGTAAATATAAACTCACTCCATTAAATGACAGGCAAGCCCAAGGAATGTAAGTGGAAAATGCTTCTTATTTGGGAAAGTTGCAAAAATAATCTTGATTCTTTTCTGGAGCTGTGAACACTTTTTTGTGTGTCCCTGAACATTCTTAAGTCAACCTCCTCAGCCTGAACCCAAGGATATTTCCACGAAGGACTCATCTGTTATCAACAGGATTCCTGTATAGGGCTCTGTTTTGGCACAGCTGCTTCCTCTCATTTCCCATGTGTCTCAGTGTGGTATCTTGAACTGTGCTGGGGATCAGTGCTGCAAGCAGGTGCATGTAGCTTCTCTTCACTCTAACATCCCATCTCAAAAGCTAAAGGGAGAGGCAGTGGGGTAAAACTCCAAGCTCACACATGCAACATATAACAGAAGAACCAGATTCTGTTGAAGATGAGGTTGGTTGGTTTTCTTGACCAAGTTTTCTAAAATCTCTGCCTCAAAGCCTGTTTCTGAAACAAATGGTGATTACAGCAGGTCTACATGAGGCACAGGTGTGTGGGTGTCACATGAGGGGCACAGCTTGTGTAGGTAATGCTGGTCATCTACCTGAGATGTGGCTGTAAGACACTGAGTGCACTGGGTCTGGGACTTTGTTCCTGTGCTGCCTCAGGGACTAGTTGGCAAGATTTCTCTGAAATAGAGTCTCTGCTTTCTGCTGGTCCCTAGTCCATTGCAAAGCCGTAATTGCTTTGCCCCTCGTTACCATCCATCCAAGGATAAAGGCTACTGAGGTGCATACAGGTTGCCTAGCAAAATCAAAATGCAGCAAATGAAACCAGGATAGGAGCTATTTGAAGGAGTTTGGTGGTGATTGTCCACTAAAATGGATGACGGGTGGAGAACAAACAGAAAGGCTGAGTAAAGAAGAATGGTTAGAGGACCCATAGAGACTTTTTAATAGCTCAAGTGGGAGATGCTATCTTCTTAGGTGTGTGACAAAGGTCTCCCTTGGTAAGCAAACTGCTTCTACACTACTGCAGTAGTAACATACACATTTGATTGCTCCAATGGAGCATTGCAGCAATCCAGTTAAAAAAAAAAAAAAAAAAACAGACTTCTGAGAGCTTTTCATTAACAGTTTTCCTGCTGACTAAACCAGCCTTGGTATGATGCAGAAGACATATTTGGAAACTTTCAACCCCTTCCTCTACTGCTGTCACGTTGGTTTTAAATCACAACGCTACCCTCATACACAAACTAATGTCTAGCTTATAATTGGTTTTGTTCATATGTACAAACCCCAGTAAAAGAAGTTGAACACAATATATACACTGGGAAATATAATCCTGGAATATTTGTCAATAACATGATTGTTCTGTATAATAATCCTGCCCACGCTTCCCTTCAGAGATTTCTTCCTCTTTATGCGAGCTGTGTCCACTTTGGAGACACTGGCTGCACGTGCCCGAGTCTCATTCTCTTCAGAGTGGTCTGAAAAAGCAGTCAGGTCCATGTCCACATCCGTGTCATGAAAGCAGCCATCAAAAGCCATTGCTTGTACTGCATCAATAGTATACATTCCTGAAGCCTGGCAACAAAAAATAGTTATTCTGTATCTAGCAAGAGCCATGTTAGTAAATCATACATACATAAACCAGAAAATAAAGCAAGCTTTCTCTTCAGTGTTGTTCCTTCTGTGGAGAGCATATGGAGAAGAGGGGTACTCCACAGTATTGCTACCTGTAGAGCCTGCCCCCCAGACAACAAAAAATTTGTGCTTTTTCCCCCTGTGAAATTTCAACAAAGGAGTTTACATATAGGGATATTCTTGAAGCAAAGGTTATAAGTGAGTGCTTCATAGAAAGCAAATGTTCATCTTGTGCTTCAGGCACACTTTTCTAAGAATGACCTTGTCATTCATTGGGTCTTGGGAGGAAAAGGCATCATTAAACTCATCTCCCCAATTAAAAATGGTAAAGCAGGAGAAGGAAAAATACTCAATGCTTCACAAGAAATGGGAAGGAAAATCACACGACTGCATTCTGTGGTATATCTCAGAGAGAAGAAAACCACTTTGATCAATAGGTATTTGAGAAGAGAATGAAAACTACCTTCCTCTGGGGAGAGGGGAATCAGGAGGTGAACTCTCTAACCTCTGCCACAAGAAAAGGAAGAGAGAGAAAGCATAGCTTTCTCAAGATCTCAGAGAGATAAATTTCCTCCCTTCAGCTAAGTAAAATAAAGTGAGATACAGAATGGAGTCACAGACATGATTACTGCACTGTTCTCACAGTGGTCTATCTGGATTATTCTGTGGTTTCTGTGATGCTTTCTGAAGGCAACAAAACACAGAAAGGACTGTACCTGGCCCCGTTTTCTCAGTTGCTTTCTCTCTTCAGTCGTGGTGAGATAGTTCACTGCTGCATATTCAATGACAGACAGGAAGACAAAAAGGAAGCTGGTCCATAAATACACATCCACAGCCTTTATGTAAGACACTTGAGGCATTGAGGCACTTACTCCTGTCATGATGGTTGACATTGTCAGCACTGTAGTTATACCTGCCAAAGAAAAAGGTGAGGTTATCCTAATACTGGCCAGTTTGGATCATCAACTTTGCTTGGACAGAACAGCTCTGTGAGGGCATATCATTGACACTGCCTGTATCTTCATTGCACAGGCTCTGAAAAGTGGAGTGAACCATGAAGGCCTATCACATACAATACTGAAACAAGTAAACCATCTCTTTGCTCAGTGCCTGCAGTTAGAGCTGTGGCACACCAGGTCTGAACAGTGGGAACACAAGAGTGGTGATTCAGCAGCATAATTCTGTGAAATTAAAGAAATTAATTAAATAAAATTTAATTAATTAAATAAAATTAAAGCACATATTTCTGTGACAGCTTCAATTACTGCTGTAGAGAAGTGAAAGCATGTTTGTGAGCTTCTCTCACTTCCCAGAGCCAGGGTCTCCACTTTCTTGCCCCAGAGAATCACGAAAGAATCACCAATTTCCCTCCCAACCCTTCTCAAATTGTACTTCTTGAGAACAGCTTGTATGTCTTTGTCATTACTCCATGTCTTTCTAAAAACACTCTAGCATAATAATGGTATAACCATTGAAACAAAGAAATGGGTTTTGTTGACCTCAGCGTGTCTAGAATTTCACCCTCATCCCCTCAATCTCTTCTTACATTCAGCTATTCATTTCATTTTTCTTTGCTCTGTCTCAGAAAAAAAACCCAAGACCAATAACCAGATGAGTCCCTGCTTTTAAACAGATAAATGTAACACTGGAAGTGAAGAAATTCTAATGACACCTGTGAGACAGGACTGGCTGAGCATGGCCTTTTATGTTGGGTCTCACTGTAGACTTTCTCCAGCTTTATGCTAGTTCAAGTCCATTGGAACACACAGGAGTTTCCCCTCTCCCTCTCTGCAAGTTCCTTAGGTTGAAGGATGGTGTTTGAAATATAACACATAAGAGGAAATCAACTTATTTGAAATATGCATACTCTATGCCAGGGAGCTAAGCTAACTTTGCTGTTAACATCATTGCCTATAAATTATGTATTCTTATGCTAATGAAATGTACATTATCCATAGAACTCCTGATGCATAACCATCTGCAGAAATCCTTATATAAATTAAAAAACATGATAAGCAAAACCATCTTGATAACATTACAAAAGACCTACTGAGAATTAAAACTTTAAAGATGAAGTTAAAACTTCTTATAAACAAAAGGAGTTGCTAGATGTACTAATAAAAGGAGGTAGGAGGTATTAGTATTTGTTTTTCAACTAACAAATAGATTTATAACTCATGTATTAGTAACCTTAGACTACACCAACAGAAAGGGATCTGAAGTAGCTATAATCCTATTTTTTTCTAGATTGATATAGCAATCATGTATGTGCAAATTTGTTTCTTAAACAAAGATCCTCAAATTTTCACTTGTCTAAGAAATATGGCAACATGCATTTGGCTTCTGGGACTAGCATCAGTAAGAAGAAAGAACAGGAACTTCTTTACTGATTCTTAAGCCAACAGTTCGCAACAGAGTTGCATTATGGTTACATTAGAAATCTTAACAAATTTTCATCAGATCTTCACAGGGATGCTAATCTGAAAAAAAAAAAAAAAAAAGTACTCATTCCACTGCCATCAGCATTAAATTCCCAACAAAGTGAGTCTTGAAGTGGTATCAACTGAAAACCAATGATGCTATTAAAAAACCCAATGTAATTAGTAATTTTCTCCTGAGCTGTGTTGTTTTTTCTCCTGTGGTGTTCAGAACTAAAACTGTGAGAGCAGAAAGGTGCCCACCTTACTCTTTGGCTTCCTCAGAAGCCTGTATGCCTTGCACAGTTAAGGCACTGAAGGAAACATTTTCAAGGTGCCTAACAAAGAAAGGCTTTGCTACATAGGACAAATTATGAAACTGGTTCCAAGTCAGGAGGAAGATATCAAGTGTTTCTAGAGAGAAAACAGAGCTGTAAAGATTTTAGATAGATTGCATTATGCCTATTAAGTATCTCTTATGAACCATGGATTTGGGGATGGACTTACTGCCAATTACTACCTGTTAACTTTGATGGGAAGAGAGGAGGAAAATCCCAGTCCGCGCAGGAGGAAAAAGGAAAAAAAGTAATTCAGTAAAATTCTACAGAAGGAGACCAGCAGAATCATTCATTTTCCTTCTGTGTTGTGTGAGCTGTTCTCTAATATAGCAAAGCAAGTCTGAACAAGCATCCCATTTCTCATTTTAGTAAAGGTTGACTCCTTTAGGAGTTTGTGGCATTGACAACAGCAATAATAGTTGTTCAGGCAATTACCTGATATAGTTGCTCGTGTCCTGTGTAAGTAAGAAGCTACGGTAGTTTCAAAACCTCGCCCCTGTCCATTCTGTACTTCCCAGAAAAACGTGTGTTAAAGGTTTACCTAGTGATACCCTGGCAGGAACAGCTCTTCTGTCAATCCAAAATGAAACCCAAGACAGCATCACCATCAGCATGGCAGGGAAGTAGGATTGTAGCACAAAAAAGAAAATATGTCTCCGAAGGGCAAAGTTTATAAAAAGTCGATTGTACCAACCTATTGAAAAAAGAGAGGAACAGGTTGGGGGAGAAGACAGCTGGGTTATTTGTGAGCTCTGTTCACTGGCCTTCTCCTTTCAACTGGAATGGTGTATTCTCATCAGTAATATTGAACACCTAAGAAATATTGCCACTACCTTGGTTTTATATAGTGCTTTATTAACTGTCATTCATCCCTCTTTAAAATACTGCTGCCTTAGCAGCAAAGCACCATGACTGCATAAATAAAATACTGTATTATAGCTGAGGTTATGAAATTGAGGGTAAAAAAAAAAAGTTAAACAGACTTCAAGTGAAACTGCCGGGAGAATGCAGACAGAATGTAATTGTCCAGTTCAGCTAGGACAGTAAAGCCAGCACCCTTCCTCCCCTAAGTAGCTTGCCTTCTCTCATGCTACAAATACCCAGCAGTAAGCAGCACTTTTCTTACCGTCATATAGGTTTGCCTGCCTAGCATTGACTTTAGAGGAAAGGGTGCTACCTAGTGAATTTTGGTGGCACAGTCTGTCTGTGCAGCAAAGCATGCGTGCTACACCTCCTGTGATGGGAGGGAAATGAGTGTATAGTGAGGTGAAGAGAAGACAAAAGTGGCTGGCTGTTCAGCATCTGCCTGACCAGTAAAAACAGAGATATTAACAAGGCTGTCTTGGAGCACAGAGAGGCTCTTTATAAAAATTAATATATTAACAAAACCCCCATCAAATATTAAACGCGCTTTATGTGTTTTCACTTGTGGAGAAGGTTTTGGGGCTTAAAAATTATTGTCTCAAAAAATGGATTGAAATTGTTGCTCCTTTGGAGGCCAGTGAACTCCAAAGCCTAAATGCTACATGTGTAGCTCTTGGAGGTGCATAGGAAATGATATGCAGAACCTAAAATGTGGGAGGCTGCTCCATTAGCAGCATTTTTGTCCATTTTTTGCCCAGGACTCTTCAGGGGAAGATGGCTTCCATTAGAGTTGTGCTGACTGTTCCCCACCATTATTTACTTTAGGGGAAGGGTTTCTGTGCAATCATTTTCATCCAACAAGAAGCAAAATAAAAGACCAAGAGAAAGTGGAGCCTCCTGTAAGAAAGAAAACCTCAAAGTAAAAGAAAAGTATGTGCTTGCAAAGGGCAGTGTTCTAACTAAAATATGGTACACACATTGTTCAACTACTTCCCAGGGTCCTTGTGACTTAAAAAAAACCAACTTTCCTTTCACCTTTATCCTGCTGAGTAAGCTCATCATCAAAACATCTGCATGCAAGTGTGGAGCAGTTACACTGCAAAAAGTCAAAGGTGCTGTGAAGGTGCTGCAAAAGCATGAGTATTGGAGTGATGTGGGATTGCATTATTGTGCACAAGGCCATATTTGCTTACATAACTGTTTTTTTATGAGAACAGCAAGGCAGAAAGAGTTCCCAGAACTCATTTTCAACTCTCAGTAGTTTGGTGGAAAACATCCCAGTCTCCTTCAAGAACAAAGTTGATGTAGCTGTCAGCATTGCACAGTTATGATAGTAAGGTATCACTAGCCCTCTTCTCACATGACAATGGCTCTGGAGCTCTGTTCTTAGCTCATACACAAGCAAAAGAAGGATCTGATCAAGCTGTGAATCCCTTAGTGCTTTAGCTGCATCATAATTTAAACCAGTATTACTGCATTCAATATCAGCCACCGTAAACTTGAATAGATCTTTTTTAAACATAAAAAAAGCTGTCCTATAAATAAAATATAGTAAATAAAACTATTTTCAGCTTTCCTGTATGTCTTCAAGGATTTTTTCCAAAGTGCTATGTATTTCATCATACTACTTTGATATCAAGGGTAATAGCCACACTGAAATGAACTGCCTCAGACTGGTGAGTGCAGTAGCAAACATGATATTTTATCTGGTAAAAAACATATGGTTAGACTACTTATATAGAGAAGTATTTAAAAATTTATAATTGCATGTACAAATACAAAGAAAATAAAACCCACCTTGCATGAAATCAAGGCTATAATAAAATCCTAAAGCCTTGTGCAGTTTGCCAGAAAGTATTGTTCGAGTTCTATAGGGAGAAATAAAAACCTGTCTGGGGCAGATACCTGTAGTTAAACAATGTAGCAGAGATTTTAGACAATAAAACACACTGGGTTTCCTCGTTTTCTCTCCAGTATTTGACCCTTTAGGGTTTGCATTTTCAAGTTCTTCTATATAACTAGAACCCAAAGATTCCTGCAAAACTAGTACTCCAAGGGCTTTAAGAGAAGCACCACAATTTTGCAGGAGCTCACACCAGCATATATTTGGTTGTTGTGCCTTTTTTCAGATTCTTATTGTCAGACGTTAAGTTACAGGTATTATGGCCTCTTTTAATACCAAGAAAGTGTTATACTGGTAATGTAAAGAAAAACAAGGACCTGGGCCAACAGACCATTGTAATTGAGAGATCTCATTTTAACTGAGATCTTTAAGCAGTAACAGTCATTTATTAGCAATGAATTGGAAAAGTAATTCTGCATGATTGTGTCCTGTGCTTCACTCTTCTAATGACAGGGGTTTACTGTACCAGTACTGCTGTAAAAAGCTAGTCCACTGGAAGCACTGAATTCTTCAATGAAAAACTGGGAGAGGGAGATGTGCTCATCTGTGCTCAGAGACTTGTTTCCATTTTTCCAGTATAACATCAGATCGTCTTCATTGTACGCATCTACAAGAAAGTAAAAACTAAATCACCTCTTCTGCTGGTATAATGCTTTTTGGGAAAACCCCAAACGCTTTTTTCATATCAATCTGTCACTTAGTTGACATGGAAAATTTTCAAAGACCACATTCCATCTGATTCTAAGTGGACCCCAGTCCTATGCCCTGTCACCAGCTCACCTGACAGATGGGGGAACATAGGTGTGCTCAGGGTCCCAGGGCATTTAGTATCAGATCTCTGGAACTGCAACACTGCGCAGACTGCCTGAACACTGGGGATCTGTTCTCTTTTCCAAAACTAAACTACAAACCAGCAGTCCAGTTTTACTCATAATCCAAATAAAAATAAATTTTGACATAGCAAAAGGCTTAGCAAAACAGAATTACTTTTGTTGCCCTTGCCCAGCTTTACAACTTACTACACACAACTGAGTCAGGGATGAGAAAGCAGATACTTCACAGTAACACAAGCACTTGTCTTCATTGTTTCATGAAATTAAATATTGACATTTTACTTCTAACCTGCATTTTTTTTTTTCAGGAAAAAAAAAAAAAAAAATTCCTGAACCCCCCCCACAATTTTTGACAGAAGAAACATTTTTAGATTCAGGCCTTGGAATACCAACACAGTCAAAACAAAGCAGGGTGCATCATGGGTTTTTTTATCTTCCCAAAGCTCACTAAGCTCTGGAAAGATCCCAAACTGGTCACAATTCAACCTGTACAGATTGAAGGGTTCAGGTCACATGTCAAAATAAGTTGAAAAGGTATTATTAATAAGATGGAGTATGGAGTGCTGGTAAGAATGCACGTGTGAAGAACAGGTATGAATTAAACTTACAGCTTTCCAGTTCTAAAGAGCAATTCTGGGTGTCCAGAGGAAACCTACTGAAATCCATGAAACACATAGCAGAAACTGTTATTCTGCAGAAAGGAAGACAAAAACAGAAATTAAATGAAAAATGTCACACTTTCTTATAGCTGGGCAGACAACTTAGTGAGACTTCCAACCAGTCTGCTGCTTAGAATCCTAATGATGTTTTCAAGCTTTTTTAGATGCTTCTAAAATTGCTTCAAGATAGTGAGATAAAAATAGATCAGTGAGAACATATTTTTTAAACATAATTCATAGTCTTTCTCACTGAGTACATTACCTCCTTTGTTTTTTAAACCTTTTACTGGCCTGATCCTTCATTAGCCTTTCATACATACATTTTACTTTGAAGGATTACACTTAGGAAGATTAACAGGGGGAGTTCACACTTCTTCACCGAATTCCTCAACCGAATTTCTCATAGATTGAAGTAGATATTACAGATTACAGCAAATATTATTCCAAATGTTATTTTCCCAGCTAGAATGCTTATAATATTTAATTGCATGAAAAGATAAGCTGCAATTCCTGGAAGCTTACTCTCCTTTTCCACACCATTTAAATGCCTTAGACTCTAAAAAGCTTAAGGAAGTCTAGAAAAAGACATTATTTTGCATTCTACCTGCTTTTTCAGCAGTGTTTAGAAGATGTATCCCTTGATATTTTAAACAATAAACAGGCTAGAGGCAGCAATTTAAATATGGCAAATAATACCAAATTTCCCTTTCTTGTCATTTGATGTTTTAGTTTGACTTTTCAGTTTTTCCCAAACTGAATCCTACAGTTTAAGTACGAGCTGTACGGGTTATATAAGAAATCTTTGAAAACTGCTGGTTGGTAAACACACTTAAACTTTACAAGTGTAAGATTTTACTAGCTTGTAATACAACTGTTAATGTCCTACATCTTTAAAATCATGCATAATACTTCCAACTACAGATGTTGTTTCCATCTTCCAGCTATTGACTAAAGGATCAGGGGAAAACTAAGAAAATGTTTGTTTTAGTAACAAATCTGGATTTTTGTTCCACTTTGCTTCAATAAAATCCTAGATGCCATGCTCTAAAGAAAAACTGCAGAATATGCAGATTTCTTGCATGTAAGTATTTGGAATATAATCTATGTAAAACAGGCAATACAAAAAGGGTGTTTTAATGAACATCTGATTCTCTGGGAACATATACAATACTATACCACTAAGCTAGAAAAACAATGTTTCACCTTCGTAATTTCAAAACTCTACTTCAACCTTTAGGTCACCCCTTTCCCTGCCTCTGGTAAGAGCTGATAGAGAACAAAAAGGACAGGACACCTGCCCTTTGTGCATTTGTCCAGGAAGAAATCCACAGGTTTGGCAGGAACTTTGGGGCTTTGCTATTCACTGGCACAGGAAGGTGAAGCTGGCTGCAAGCTCGCCTGGCAAAGCAAGGAGGAGTCATCCAGTACACACCATCTGGTAATGCTGAGTTAGGAAAAGGTAACTGTGGGAGCAGAGAGGACAAGGGCAAGGAAGAAAAATAGAGCCCAAACTTGCAAATGTGATGTAGGACACAGGACAAGGGCTCCCATCAGAGGGGATTCCAAGCAATGAGCAAACTGATTCACACCGTGTCTGTCCCTCAGATCCACTTTCCCCTTTTCCTTCCCTCCCATTATGCTTTTTCCTTTCTCTCCATTTCTGTCCTGCACATCACATGCTATCTTTGGTTTGTAACTACTTGTGCACAATTTATTGCTGTTTATCTTGATGACACTTTACCTTTCTGTTAAGCTGACAGAATGTGTTCCCCCATCTTAAGTCTCTTCACCACTTTCTTCCACCAGCTGAATGTATGTCATACCTCTCATGTGGAGTGCCACTGCTGTAAGCCTTAGTGTTCCCAATCTCTCTCTCATGAAGCATGGAAAATAATACAGCAATAAAATGCATACTTCACCTCATTATTTCTTACTGATCAGTGTGATTCTTGAGCATATACTATTTTAAAGTGATGTGTGGCTGTTGTTGTGATGGTTTCTGCATATCTTCATTACTTGTTGGAACAATCATTAAACAGCCAAAATCTCAAGTGCTTGCATGAATCTTCAAACTACCCAGATTAGATGAAGTATAAACTTTGTGCACAGGCCTAACCAGTAATGACCAGGAGAACTGTGATTTCTGCAATGCACAGGCCTTGGGGTCTGTACCCTAAGGGGAAAATTCCTCCAGAAAACTATTTCTGCCACATAATCCAAATCTACTTCATAAAGAAAAGCAATAAGATGTAGATAAAACCACTGACAAGGGATTAACACAGGATAGATTTCAGTGCTATTTACAACAGATGAAAAAATGCGATTTTTCTGTGACAGGAAACAATATGTGAATGACAGAAAAATATGTTATTTATATATTTATATGTTATTTATTTTCACACCAGTATACTCATCACCAGTTCCCATTATCTAATGTCAGAGCATTACTGCCAGTTCAGTTTCAGAATCTTAACTACAAGTATTTACATCAATTCCTCACTATACAGACTACTGGTCCGTAATTGCAGCCATGTATTTTCTTATAAAGGGGTATTGCTCTTACCGTAGACTGAAGAGTACATTGCCATCAGGGTATACTCGGAGCATGACGTTTTCCACAGTTGTATCATGGATGAAAGATCTTTTGGAGTGTACAAAAAATATATCAGGTACCCATATCTTTTTTATCAGTCTTCCATCAAAAGTCATACTTTTGTTTTTGTTACTATGAAATGAAAGTCTCTCATCCTTCCAGTAATGTCTGAGATACAAAGTCATTGTGAAGTCCTTTGTTTAATTAAAAATAAAAGAAGACAATGCATGGTTTATTCACATACAATAGAAAACAGGACAAAGTAATCAACTCATGCAAAGGATCAGTGTCTTCTCTGGGTACCATCTCTCAGTGAGAGGAATTAAATCCTACTCAATGAGTTTAAATACAAATGAGAACTACCTCTGAGATACTGGCTGTTCGCCTTGTAAACCGGTGTCTGAGTCTGAGGTACATACTTCATTTATACTGAGATAAAACTTTTACAGATTTCAGTGCTCTGCTGTATTGGGCCATCAGTGAAGTAATAAAGGAATTTTTAAACCAACCAAAGGAAAATGGAAAAAGGTTTCCTCTGGAACTCTTCACAAGCTTTTCCCAGAATGGACTGTGGTTCCTTTATAATGGGATTAACTTGAGTTCTTCATGAGCATTAGGTCAATTTGTAAATTTCATTAATCTGTATATTTTGTACAAATACTGAACAGGTGATTGATGAATGAAATGCATCATAAAGAAATAATATGAAGAATTTTATTAGAGTAAAACCTTAAATTTTACAAGAATGACAATTTTTTAATATAAAATGCTGTTTAAAATATTTTATCATCCTATTTAGAGAAATAGCATGACTGCAAATATACATGTGGAAAGAGATGGAGAGGGTGCTCCAAACCCAGTCTGAGCTTCTGCACAGCCTGACAGCTTTGTGCTCACCTATGTAACTTCTGCTTTACCAGGCAGACATCATTGATCTCGATAGAACAATTACTTCTTGTAAGAAGTAATTATCAGAATACTGGGAAAATACTTAGGTCTTTCCCTGTAATACGATTTGGGTAGATTTGCAAAGGAATGCAGGGGTGCCTACTGACTGACAGATCCCATTGCAAACTCAACACCTACAACTAGACCTACACTCACTGTGAAAAGACACTTCAAATGAACAGCCTACATTCCAGTGCTACAAGTCCTTGACTGCAGTGTGGGCATCTACTTCCGAGGGCCATTAATGGAACTGGTTTTTCTACTTCCATTTCTCACATCTACAGCTCCACCCATGCCAGAAATGATGAGAATTTTCAGATACGAATAAGTAAAGGAAATAAAGGACATGGAGCCTCTTCAACTAATGTGCTCGGTACTAAGGGCTCATTCAGAAGCCCATGGGGCTTACTGAATGGTTGGTGTTTTCAGCTTGGAGCACTATCCACTCTGATCTGTTCCTCTTACCCAAGGAGAAATTTGACATGTGCTTTTATATTACACTTACTATTTTAAACAAGAATGACTTGCATGCTTCAAGGAAAGGTTGCTCTCTTTCAGGGTTTGCCTTCTTTAACTGTATAATTCTGTACCATCCAGCTGGGTGTTTCTGAAACCCTGAATTTTGGCTGAACTTCTTTATTCCAGTTCCACTTACCATGTCAACTTCAGATATGCTGTCAATGCTTTCTACCTGCACATCAATGCCCACAGGTATTGGCGACCCTTCAATGCAACAGAATGAGAGAGTGATGAGGAGCATAAATCCATATTAAATGGAAGAATATTAGCAACATACAGAAAGTACCCATCCTAGCATTTACTATGGTCTGTCCACTTTAGTACACTAAATGAGAAAGACCATGGCAATAGAATAAAACATGATGTTAAACAGTTGCAGAAATAAGTAAAAAGCCTTCGGTGATCATTTTGCAGCCAGACTTACTGGCATTGCAGTTTGGACATCAGGGACAGCTTCCTTGTTCAACTGCTAATGAACTTCTTGGAGTGCTATCTGGAACTGTCATATGGAAAAGCTGAGTATATCAAATATATGAGTATATGAAATACATCAAATTGCAAAGTTTTCTTATCATTTCCAATGCTTATTCCCACACTTACAAGCAAAATAATCATTACACCTCCTAATTATCTTTAGTTATTCAACTATTTAAAGTTTGGCATAGGTATCCATGAAAAAGGATTGCTTCCTCTCTACCTCATAAGGGAAAACCTGTTATGGTTTAAGCCTGGCCGCTCACTCACTCACCCTCTTCTTCCCTGCCCTGCTCCAAGAGAGATGGGGAGGAGAATCGAAAGAATGTAACTCCTGTGGGCTGAGATAAGAACAGTCCATTAACTAAGGTATAACACAAAACCACTACTGCTACCACCAATAATAATAATGGAAATAAAAAGGGAAGAGAATACAACCACTCACCACCTGCCAACCGATACCCAGGCCGACCTGAGCAGTGATCTGGGGCTCCCAAGTAACTACCCCCAGTTTCTATACTGGGCATGATGCGCTGTTGGCCAGTTTGGGTCAGGTGTCCTGTCTCTGCTTCCTCCCAGCTTCTCATGCTCTTCCTCACTGGCAGAGCATGAGACTGGAAAAGTCTCTTACCCTGGGACCATGGTAGAGGTACAGGGTAGGATATACTGGAAGTCCTCATATCTGGCTATACATTTGATCTTAACTGCTATTGCTAAAATGTTGGGAGATTATTTACTTGAACAACATGTTAAAAACAGTGGGCTTAGTCTGATAGTCTACATAAAATAACAGCTTTACTAGTTTCTGAGTCAAGGACAAATCTAAAGCAAATGAAGTTAAATATCTACCATCAACATTCTTCAAAGAGGCAAGGAGCTACACACAATATCACACAATAGGATAAATGGCTTTCTGAGCCATATATTGTGTAGTGATGAAAACGCTTTTTCTTGGTGACAGTTGCTCAAAGTGTGATGATGACAAACCTAATATTTCTTGGGATTTGCAAAAATTAAAGACAATTTTCTACCCCAACAAGAACTATTCCAGGGTGGGCACAGTTCCATTAAATAATTCACCTCATCTGGCAAATGTAAAGGAACTGATCACAGAATTAGAAATTAGTGGTAGCTTATTTTTATATTGGTTACATGCACACAAACAGAAGTGCCAGTTATACATAGATACACACAGAGGCACTTGATTCCTTGAAAGGAGAGCTTGTACTAAGTTGGGAACTATTATAAAACTATATATAAAAAGTCACTGGGAACACTGAATAGCATAAAACAGATCAAAAGCTATGGCCAGGAGTAATACAGAAGATGGCTCTAAAGTGAATTAAATAAAAAGGGAACTGTTACAATGAAATTTGTTCCTGATTAGGTAGAAACATGAGAACTGTGAAACAGACTCATTAAAAAGAGATTCCTGTTTTCTGTCTAGGGAAAGGCCAAAGACTCATGGTGCTTAATAAGAAAACACCATTCAGTCTAGCCTTCACCACAGACGATTATTAAACCACATACCCCAACCCCAGCCCTGACCTATTATTGTTATTATAGCAGCTGTGAATATTTCCTTCCTATTCTGACTCTACTTTTGCAACAAATCTAAGTAGACAATAAAGACATTAAACACTGCACATATATGCAACCCTGGTCACTTCACTGTGCTGTTCACTTTTACAAGTGGATACCAGTAACGAGTGGTGTCTCTCAGGGATCGGTGTTGGGACCGGTCTTGTTTAACATCTTTGTCGCTGACATGGACAGTGGGATTGAGTGCGCCCTCAGCAAGTTTGCCGATGACACCAAGCTGTGTGGTTCGGTTGATACGCTGGAGGGCAGGAATGCCATCCAGAGGGACCTTGACACACTTGTGAGGTGTGTCAACCTCATGAAGTCTAACCATGCCAAGTGCAAGGTCCTACACCTGGGTCAGAGCAATCCCAGGCACAGCTACAGGCTAGGCAGAGAAGAGATTCGCAGCCCTGCAGAGAAGGACTTGGGGGTGCTGGTCAATGAGAAAATGAACATGAGCCGGAAGTGTGCAGTTGCAGCCCAGAAAGCCAACCATATCCTGGGCTGCATCAAAAGGAGCATGACCTTAAGTGGTCAAAGGTGTCCTCAACATAAAAAGGACATGGAACTGTTGGAACAAGTCCAAAGGAGGGCCACAAAGATTATCAGGGGACTGGAGCACCTCCCATATGAAGATAGGCTGAGAAAGTTGGGGCTGTTCAGCCTGGATAAGAAAAGATCATTCTTTTACAAGGATTAGTGATACTCACAATGGAGGCTACATACATTTTCAAGATAATTACTCCCCAGCAGAAAAAAATCAGAATTGTTTTCAGATGGGTTTATCTTCACACAAGCCATTTCCAGTCTTTTGTTTTAAAGGTTTAAGCATAGCAAAAGAAGGCCTTGATGAGCATGGAATTTTTTTAATAGGTAGTACGGCAGGCAAATTCTGTAATACCCTTTTAAGAAGGAATATTACATAAAAAGGAGTGAGCCTTCTCCATCCCAGTGACATATTTCTGACCTTTCAGGGAGGGCTGTGGTGCAGAAGAGAAAATAGATTGGTGTCAAAGAGCTATTAGAATTGCAGCAGTTTGAGCATGCATTGTGCCCTGTTTCCTTTTCTTTTTCTACCCTTTTACCTTCAGATGAATCTAAATGTTACTAATTTAGCTTGAGTAAGGAGGAAGTACAGAGGGGCAAGAGCTAATGGAATTTCTGATCCTCTGAGTATTTGGAATTAAGATTACGTTTAATTGCAGATCGGGATGCAAACTGTCCAGGACTGCTACCTCTTGACCAGCTAAAGTCCACTAAATTATTTTCCATCATGTCTGATACTGTCTAATGCTATTATCCACTAGACTGGTTGACAAAGTAGAGAGAACAAATTTTAAAACTTCTTTAACTAACACAGCATAGGAAATGACAGGTCCTTAAGACACAATGTAAAGAAAAATAGTTGTCATATATATATATATATATATACACACACACATACACATGGGGAGAATTTCCATGTACACAATGACAATGATCATGAGATTCCATAATGTTTAGACTGCAAATAGTTAAAGAGAGTGCTTGGAACGTTGTATTTTCAGAAAACCAAGGCACAGAAAAAGAAAATAACTACTTCCTCTGTATGCTAGTCTATGATTATTTTTTTTTTTTTAATGGTGAATGTTAATTTTTAGTAATTGTAGAAAGAACTCATGAAACCAAGAACTCAACCCAATGTCTTCTGCTGGTATTTTAGCATAAGATAGTCCAGAAAATAATAGGCTATAGATAAACAGATGCATAGTAGAAAATAAAGTAACTTGAAAGCATTTCTAAAAATTCACTTAAACACTTTATCCTCCTAAACCAAACTTAGCAGTTTCGGCTGCTAAGTGGCCCTCAGAGATCCAAGTTGCTAGAAGTCTCTGCTCACTGATACTGGCCTGTGCTCACCCTTTCTCACTGACTCATGTTGTTTTTGATTATCAGGATATTTAGCTTTGACCCCTGTTTCTCTTGGAAAATAAGAAATGCTCTTGGGCCAAAATTTGGCTGGAGTCAAATATTTTCAAACCCTTGAAGGACATTCATTCACTATCTCAAGATCAAATTGAGTTTGTGAAATGTCAGGTATTTTCCAAGAGGGATTAAATTCACATCCTTTCATTTGATATAATCCTGATAATTTTCCCAACTTACGACTCGCCGGGGCTTTATTGCCTAGGCGAGGGAGATCGTCTTGAATCTCCAGAAGTACGCGGGACAGGGGAGCCCGCACGTTGGGATGAATGGGAACGCCTTTCTCGGGACTTTGAACGTCTTCTCCCATAGACAACTGTGGTTTTAACTTAAAGATACCTTGGCAGAGTGCTCCGAATGGAATGGGGATGACCATTCAAAGAAGTGCAACATAACTTAATTTCTTACATTTTCTCCAGACCAAACTTGAGCTATTTTCTCACAGATTATCTGTTTATGGGGGTACTGACAAATCAGTACTTTAGGCCATAGTATTAAATACATATGTCATGAAAATATCTGAGTCTACTGACAGTTTTTTGTTTCCTTTGGTAGGATCTAGGCAGATAGACAGCCTTACAGGAACTGGCAAGCATTATTATACCATTGCAGGACATCTCACATACCCACCTCCTGGCCTTTGCAAGTACTTCTGGAAGAAACAAGGACAAAACAATTCCTAATTCCTACAGTGTTCAGTGATGCTGTTGGTAAAGCTTGTTTGAGCAAGGGAAACATCAGTTCTCCTAGTTCAATGTCTAGTGGAATTACTCAAATCACTTTGCTGGGCCACATCTGTTTGCATCAGTGGGGGTCCATCTATTGGAGACTTCCAAACAGAAGAGGCCCATGACATTACATGGAAGGCAACAACAAAACAAAACAATCCAAGAAATGAAAAAAACCCAACCCACAATCCCTTCAAACAACAACCCAAGAGACTGCGTTAGGGATTAAGTGCAGTGTAACAATGTAAATTCAGTTTTTTAGAGAACATTTTGGTGTACTGAATTACTTCAGACCATAGTAATGAACTATAATGAACTGCAGACAAGTAACACTTCTTTAGCAAAAATGTAGGAACAGCTTGCTAGCAGCTTGCTGGCTTTGCTTCATCTTGACACAGTGTACTTCTCAGCCTTTTCTCTAATGTGTTAATAAATAGACAATGCCAGGATTAAATTTTACAATCACCAGTCAGATTCTGATTGTGAAGCTGGAATGGCATTGCAATCAACAGAATAATGCCAAAATATAGTCACATAAATAGCAGTTTATGGGTCCATTATTATGTGTCCATCTCTCCATGACAGAGTTGTGTCCATTTGGTAAAAAAAAAAAAAAAAAGGGATCTCTTACCTCCATGGACCAATGATATTTTCACAGGAAAGCAATCGATCATGTAAGAAAAGTCACATTTCCAGGAACACTGCTGCTGGTCAGTATCCAACAGTTCTTCATTCATTTCCCCCAGTTTTTTTCCTGTGCATGTTTGCTCAGTTTACAAATCAAATGCAGCCTATGCCCTCTCTGTTTTTCCTTTGTTACTCAATTATAAGTACTAAAAACTCTGGGTCCTGTAGTCTGTCTCATTTACTTTGCATGTATGGGGCTAAATAAACAAGCCAAATTTAGAGTTCCCCAAATTGAGGGATCCTCAGCAGGTTCAAAACTGTGCACTGTAAAAATGTTAATGGATCTATATATTAGTCTTAGAGATATTCACTCATAAGCATTCCACATATTAAGAGAGTTCTGGAAATTCTAAAGTGTGTGAATTATTGAATGTGACTGAAAAAAGGGCCTCCCATACCTTTATGAAGTCATGTGGATTAATAAAAGGGGAGCAAAGCTGATGCACTCTTCTGCTGAAAGCTATTTCTGAAAGACAGGGGTGCAGCTGAAATCATACCCATGGCAGTGTGATTACTGAGATGCCTGTGCAATGAAGTCAGTGTTAAAACTACAGCTGACTTCAGTAGGAACTGAACTGGTTCTATAACCAGTCATCTGAAAATAAAAGGACAAGGGGAAAAAGCCTGGTACATACTTGCTGTGTGTAAAAAAATCCTCATTGCCTGTGGAATTTAAAGCTGCCAGATCACAAGGTATAATCTGAAAGTCGCTTTTATGTACATCGTAAGTATTGCTTCTGGGATGATCCAAAGATGAAGTACAACCCAAAGTGTTGTTTGGTTTCATGTAAATGCTACTTCCTTTCTGAGATGATACTCTGAAAAATTTAAATTCCTTGTGTGGCCAAGCAGGTGGTAACAAGATGTCCACACTAACAGATACTAACAGATTTTAGGCAAGGGGTAATTTTTTTTTTTTTCAAGAAACAGACATATCTCAACTTATTCAAAGTCAGGCAAGATTTTTGCTCTCTGACAAGACAGAATTTCCAGGGTAGCAAGAAATCTATTCACATTCTCACAATGCATCCAGAGAGGCTCTTTTTACTCCATGTCTCCCTCCTGGCATGCCTGCCAGGCCCCACGTTTCAGCAGCTGATTTCAGCAAGAACAGGCCCATAGATTTGTTAACCTCCCAGATTTATGTTTGTTTACACAGCTGATTATTGGTCTTCATATATTTTGTCTTCATAACTCTTCATAAATTTTTAACTTCGTAACTCATAACTATTTTCATGAATCATGAACATGGAACTGGTGACACAAAGGCTCAGACAAAGCTTATTAGTGGTTCAGCTTTCTCATTTTACCTTTCATGAAGGAGATTCAAAACTGAACCCAACCTGTGGACATCCCATTGAATACTCCATTTATCCACATGCAATTTAATTAAATGAAGAAGTAATAACCATAGTGCCCAACACAGAATCAACATGGTAATAAATAGAACATCTGTGGGCAATTTTTTTATTCTCTACTTATCAAACAGATTTAGGAATTTCTGGTTCATTTCTATCTCTTAAAATAAATGTGATGACTAAGTAATGTGCTAATTGCTACTAGACTATGCAGTTTACAGGGATACCTTATTCAGTGCTCCCATAGAGGCTTACCCTAATAATATTTTTTAATAAACTCTGAAAAGGAACCAGCACAGTGCAGGTGTGCGTTGCTTACCTCCAAATCCAGGTCTGAGTGCAAAGTCATGATCCTCTATGTGAAGCAGCTGCTCAGATTTAAGTGGCCGTACTTTTGTGCTGTCAATTGTCCTCATTTTAATTTCTTGTTTGCTATGTTTAAAAATAAACAAGCTGTGCCAGTTAAATGAAGCAGAGACCCAATAATACTGTACAGTTGAATCTGGTACGATAAGGGAAACAGCAGTTGGAGAAAGGTATATTAGAAAAGGTAGGGGAATTGCCCAGGTCCGTGGGAACACTAACAATAAATAAGAAGTCCCAAGAAGAAGATCTAGCTCTTCCTCTGTTCCTCTTAGAAATTGTATCTATCATTATGTAAGACATTATAGCTGTTTGAAAAAATGTTAGTATTCGCATAACCACTTGCAACTCAGACTGGAAATAACACCAGTTCATTTCAACACCAGTGATTTATACCACTTCATGCATTATCCATATTACAGAGACAATTATATTTTATATCTTTGCTTTTTTTTTTTTTTTTTTTCTAGGAGCTCAAATGAGTCGGTGATTTTTAGAAAGGACCAAGAAACTGATAGCCCCGGATCCAGAGGCTTGTTTTTGAGATCTTCTTAAACATCATTCAGATTTGGCCAAGTTACTCATTAGCTCTTATTTGCTTATTTATTAGCTCTTATTAGCTGATCTGCTGCACAGACATGCAGCAGTTCTTTGCATCAGGAGTCCTTACTCTGCGTTTTTCCCCGTGTCACACATAACTAAGCCTCTGCAACAAGACCCAAGGCAACACAGGTGAACCTGTGCTCTAAGCAGGACGCCATGAATTCTGTGCTTCTTTCTGGTGACTGTTGCTAACTTTCTTCTCCTCACAGAAGCTACTGATCAACATCCCAAACTCCACTGGGAAAATCACATGCCTAAGAATGGACTCCAGCTCTCCAGACAGGAATCTCATGTACTGAGCCTGCATTTAAAATGAACAGAAGATGCCCATCACAATGCAGGCACCTTTTCTGGTTTTCCTATAAACAGAAACCACACCAGAGATAACAGAGGGGTCTGCTACATGCCCATACCACAAAAGTATTGGGTTAAAACAGACAAGATCTACAGTCAGATCTGGCAGATGGAGGACACAGGCTCTAGAAAGGATCTGCTACATTATTTTGTTCTGCTATAAGGAAAATGCCATGGTGTCTCCTTAAGTTTCCACTCCTTGTTTCATGTCCTGCTTTAAGTGGTCAGCCCCAACTAATTACACAAGTAGCCATACCTTAGCTGCAGAATTAACGCCTAGCTCTGGACCCCCATTTCAGAAAAGGCATGGGAAGATTGTAAGAATCTGTGTAGCTTAATTTAGAGGAACAAGACTGAGGGAAGGACAGTCTTCAGAATACATAATGAGCTCAGACAGGGCCCTTTGTTCCACGTCCACTCCCCAGAAGGATAAGAAGTGGCAACAAAGGAGAGATGTACATTACACATTAGGAACGCCTTTCTCATGGTAAGAAGAGTGAAACATGGGAACATATTTCTTGTGCGGGTTTTGAGACTGCTTTCAGCCGAGCTATTTATGAATAGGTTAGATGTATATCTGTAGGACTTACTTAAATACAGCTGCTTTGCCACAGGCAAGGGACTCTCCCTGGACATAATTCCTTTGATGCCTTCTGTGATTCTCTGGGACTTTGATGTCAGCAGCTCTAATTATTACTTTAGACTGATAAAAATCTGACAATCTGTAGTCAAACACTGCTTAAGACAAGGTATGGAATACTTTAGGATAAGGTTTGTGCCTGTGTTTACTCTTTCTTTTTCTCCTTTCCCCCCTTTTTTCTTAATAACGAAGCCCAAGAAATTACTTATAAGAATCCTGTAACAGGAATGCTGAGGTGGCTGCTGGACTATTCAGAACCATTGAACAAATTAATTTACCTTAGCATTCTTGAATGCCTCTGGCAGTGCTGTCTGAACCAAATTATCAGGGCAATCAGAACACCCATCAGACATTTCAAATGCAGACTTTAATTTTCTAAGTATGAAAATTATGTGGATGCTAAAATAAAGCTCCATACTTTCGAGAATTAAAATCACCACAGACAAAGGCTGTATCCGAGTAGTATGGGCATTAGATCTGAACCCCTGTAATTCTCTGCAATAGGTACACAAGAAAATCTGCTGATGGGAACCACTGTAAGAAAAAATGATGGATTATGTTCAATATGCCATGGCACAGCTAATGAAGTTTGGAAGCATTAGGTCATTTGTCATCAGATGCCAAGGAAAATACCTGTTTTCAATGCCTCCAATAATTTCACTGGAAGAAGCAGGATAAAATTATGATATATCTATTCCAACTTCTTACTAAAAGCAAGTATGTGACTGAGGAAAGCTTCCTCTAGTCACAAGAGGCAAAACATAAGCTACGAGGGCAGGATTTTTTTTCTTAATGAGCCACTGAGATGTTACATGATTTTGCTATTTCTTCTGTTTTCCTGGATGAGGACAAAATAAACACTAATGCTGCTTATATGTAAAGCATCTTTTTTACCCACTTACTTGAACAGCCTCTTCAAGCTGATGCCTCATATACAAATGTGGGGTGTCTATAATTACTTCTAGCTGCTATCAGAAGTGGCTGCAACATCTTGCAGGGGTCACTTTCATTACAAACATGCAACATCTTTTCTTCAATACCTTCCTTTGGCAGAATAATTTTTTCTCAATTGTAAGGGAAAATGGGATTTCCTTTACAGCAAAGACATATATGCTCATGGTACTTGGAATTAATTTCATGGACATGGGTAACACTGTACATGTAAAGGTACCAAAATATAATACACTTCTGCTTCACATTTTTTCTCCTTGACTGCTTCTTCTACTCAAGACTAAGTGTTCTCCAGCAGATATTCCTTTAACATCAGCATCTGGGCTCCAGATGTTGCCCCTTGGCTAAAAGTTATATTATTAAATTTACCTCACTGTAGTATCACAGTTATTTAACTGATGATTCAAAGGGAGTTGCATGTGTGTGTTTTACTCCTAAGAAATCCTAGACCCATACCTAACTACTGATCAGCACTACAGCACTGTAAAATAATCAGCAGATATTTTCTTGAGTATTCCATTAATTTTAATTCCATTAAAAAGCAGAAGAGAGAGATCTAACTAGCCTGGCTCTCAGAAAAGCTTCCTGACGTAACTCAAGATATACTTTTCATTTCCACAGACACACTGCAAAGACACAGATTTTACTTTGGTGGCCTGGCACCCTGGTCTCTCTATCATGCAGCTTTGGCCAGCACACCACAATCTAAGAGTCTAAATGCAGTCATTGATTCTGTACATCACTGTATGGTAGGTGTCAGGCTATGGCATTGAAGAGGAGAAGCCCACACATAATCACAAAATCACAGAATTGTTTAGGTTGAAAAAGACCTTTAATGTCATTGAGTCCAACAGTAATCCTATCACTGTCAAGTCCACCACTAAGCCATGTCCCTAAGCACTACATCTACACGTTTTAAATACCCACAGGAATGGTGACTCAACCACTTCCCTGGGCAGCCTCCAACGCAAGCAGTTTCAATGCTTGACAGCACTTCTGAAGAAGAACATCTTGTGAAATCATCAGCAGATGCATGTATCAGCAGACACATGCACCTAAGGAAAGTAAATCTCTCTTTACCTCTTTGCTACCAAATCAAAGATATCCAAAAGGCAGAAGTTACATAAATCTTATTCCCAGGAGAGTCTATAGAGTTATACAGCAGTGTGATCTCTTAAACTTAACACATTCATCAAAACTTGAAGCCCAGATAAATGTAATAATCAGAATTGTACAGTTCTCTCTCACACAAATAAAAATGCATTTCTGAATGTTCAGTAACATCAGCAACATGTACTGTCAAAAAGCTTAATATTTTTGACAATCAAATGCTTTGTTCTTTGCTGTAGGAAATGGACCATGAGAATAATCGCTTTCTCATGTACTTTTGGTTAATGCTTTAAAATCTTCTTTACAAGAGAATGCAGACAAATAGCTCTGGAGGGGAATTGGGTTACACTATTAAAACAGTGGAACTTGTAAGTTAAGTAACATTTTCACATGGGATTTCTTTTAAAAGGCCACGCATTTAACCAAGGCCATCTGTCAGCTGTGTCCCTAATATCTTTAGCGTTGGCTGAAAGGTTTTTCCACAGAAAGCAAAAGAGGCTGGTTAAGATAATGCTGGAAGATAATGCTGCATTTTGAACAAAACCAGAGATTCAAACAAAGATAAATTAAATGCATTTGGATCCTTTCCATGGAAAAACCGATTTGCACCTGTTAAGCTTTGGGATCTTCTGTGGCACTGATTTCTTCCTAGTTCCAAATCATCAAGACCTAGAAAATGAAGCATTGCTTGTGTAACGAAAACTGCTACATCAGTCAGCATCAGCTGGCTTTTCTCCTGCTCCTATTCTTTCTTTCTTTCTGTTAACACACTTCTGCCTGTCTCACAACACTGTCATATGGATCCATTTGTAAGTATTAGTAAAGATCTATGAAGATAGAGAGGACACTGTCCTAGTATTGTTACTGCTGTCCAGCGGCAACAGATCAGTAAAGGATGTGCAGCAAAGGATACCACGAAATATGCTGTCTCCTACCAGGCTCCTCTCCTGCTTTGTGATCGTTTCATAAGCAACTCCTCTCAGCTTTGCAGAACAGAATAAATGCAGATGACAATAGCATATGCTTCCCTTTTACCACTGACAAAAGTGTATCAGCTGAGCTTAAAATAGACCTTCCTTACCACTATAGTGATAAGAAGGTATTTCATTTTGTTTCCATTAGATTCTTAACTGCTTCCCGAGACTAGCAAAGCACTAGATAGGACCTTATGTGGAAATTAGGATTAGTTCTGTTTATTTTGTTTTGTTATTACAAATAACCATTCACCAACACTCACTCCAAAACGATCAGTGAGTTTGAAACAGTCTGCTTTTCAGGAGCTTTTGGATTAGACCGAACTTGAACCTATGACCTTGAACTGAAATCTGGAAGTACTGAGAAGCATATCTTCTCCAGGCAACCTCCGTTTTGTCACTGGGATATGTTCTGTTGCCTTGCATTGCTTAAGTGTGATTTTTATCAAGACATCTAGGGATTCAGAGATATGTCACTGCTGGATTATAACATGAGAAGTGATATAGTAGGTAAACAGCTGAACACCTGCTACAAAGCATGTAACCTGAGAAAAAGAGCTTGAACACATCAAAGGAGTACACTTATGTTACTTTTTCTCAATATTTGATATTGTACAAATAAAATACCAGCTCCCCTGCTCATTTTAATAGGGGGTTAAGTACACAGACAAATGTAATAGCTGCATTCCTTCTCCTTTCTTAAATGCAAATTTATTACAATTTCTCCTCTCTCCCAAATAATAGAGAATTTGCTTGGATTATCACTGCCAATCATTGGTGTGTTCACATACTATTAGATTAATCTGGAAACACATCTGGAGACCTCACATGGCAGATGTGAAATTGCATTTCTGGGAATACACACTAACACTTTGCACAGAGATTTAAATGTAAAAATGTTTGTATCATTATTCATCTTAAAGCAGCTACTTGATTGGAAAAACTAAGAACAGAGACAATCTTCAACATCTAAAAGCATAAGTATATACCATAAAGGGAACACACTGCATCATCACTACAAATGAAGTATAATTTACCTCATGTAAAAATGTCTTCTGTATCTTGATAGTGTAACTACTTTGCTGCTTTGGTGATGGAAGTCATTTTATAACATTGGCCTAGAACTTCAGAAGGCATTTTTGCTTCTTGCAATAGGAGTGACAGGGCAAATATTTCTGGCACATCACGACAGTAGTCTGGTATCACAATAGTAGCCTGGTATCACTCAAATTGAATGACCTGTGTGTGGGTATGAGTGTTTGCATAACTGTATGCATATGAAGCCTCCATGAAGTCCAACATGAAAATATATCTGGTTATGCAAAATTAATTACTAGTTCACTGTTTCCATTTTGGGAACATGCTATCAATACCAAACATACTATAAATCCAGAAACTATCAAAAGAGGACAATGAACAGAAAGGATGCATTGAAAGGTTGCTGACAGCATGAAGTTTATCAGATGAACATAGATGGAGAGAGTATATTGCTTACCTGTTATGCTTTCTTAAGAATGAGAACTGTTGCTGATGATGAAGATGGCGATGTTGACTTTGAGAACTGTGTAGCACTGCTGTTGGCCAGAGGCAGGTGAGGAGCAGAAGTTTCATAACTAGGACCATCTCTTCCAAAAGGGAAATGCACCTGATCAACCAGTCCACCTTGCTTTTTACTTTTAGTGCTTTTACTGTTTAAAAACAGCAAAAACAGCATAGCAGAAAAAGGATGCACATGCAGCAAGGCATCACTTAAGACAGAAGACAGAAGCATGCCAGTTCTGATGTCCTCGACAAGTTCCCCTCATACCTTGGCAAATCACAAATATTCCTTCAGCTCTATATCCCTGCAGATCTGCTGCCAAACTAGAAGCACTTTGCTTTTAGAAATACAGTAGATAGACCAATTTTTTTGGCCAGTCTGTAGCCTGATGCATTGCTTCCACTCTTTCAGCATAGGCGCATATTTGAATTCTCCATCACTCACTCAGTAACCTCTTCAACATCGCCTGTGCAGGCAAAGTGATGTCAAACATTTAATCCCCCTTAAATCCCACACAAAACCATATAAAAATCTGCTTTAATGACACAGGTCTCTAAATTAATCTTGCTTTCTATGTATGTGTGTATCTGCTCCACATAATTTTCTGGACAAATCAAGCTCTTTCATTAACTAGGTACACTGTATCATCTTCCTGATCATTAACATAATTTCTGCTTCTGTGATCTGCAGTAGCAAGAGTTTCGCCAGTAGCTACAAAACTACTTTTGGGCAGCACAATATCATGGAACAAGTCCAAACTAAAAATGAAATCTTGTTTCAATATTCCCCCGTAACATCTGGAAATAACATTTTTCTTTTTCTTTCACTAGGCTCTGCAGCTATTTGACTTACCCTAAATTTACAAGGTGTGTGCATATCTAAGATCCAGTATCCTTCCATCACTCCTAATTTTATCTTTATTTCATTTAGCCTGCCCTGCCTGTTCAGTAGCAGATTGAATTGCAAAACATTTTATTCACAAAATGTTGCTTAAGCAATAACTTGAGCATGCATGCCTGCTTCTCTTACGAAGAGTGGTAAGACTTCTTGTGGACTTAAAACTGAGCAACACTAACATACCTTTGTAGCTGACACAGTCAAATTTTATTCCTTTCAAGCCATCAGCAAGTTCAGTAGTTACCAAAATTGAAAGAACATGTTTATTTTTATCTAGAAAATCAGAGATATGAGATTGAAAGTTAGAGAAACTCAAATATTCAACTCCTGTCTAACAGATGTAAAAGTAATTCAGGTCTCTCAGCAGTAGGCTTCATCCTAACTAAAACAGACAAACAGAAGAATGAAAACAAATCTAACACTGGGTCTGCTGAGACAGTTAACATTCAAGCATACTGAGATAATAATACTGTGATATGGGCATCTGCCCCTTAGAAGTCTCATTAAATTCCCAACTAACTTTATTTGGGGTGAGAAGTAATTCACAGATGCAAATGTCTTCCAGGACAGGGTTAGCAAAGGACAGCAAATTCCTACTGTTTTTGTTGTTTTGGTGTTGAACAGATATTTACCTCTGACTTAAAAAGGTAAAAAAAAAAAAAAAATCCCTTTCCAACCGTGCATAAAATTTTAATTGTTAGATTGAATTTGGTGCCTTAGATCAAAGGCTTTCAAGCCTGTAACCCATCTCGTTCTACGCTGTTCATAATTTAATCCTTTCCTGGTCAGCAGAAGTATGGAAGATGACTCATTGCCTAACCCAGGGGTAGTTGTAGTGCTTCCAGCAGGTCTGGTGATTTCCAGGGTGGAGTTTCTGCAGAAGATAAATACAGGCTATATAGTTAATAAGACATTTAACAGGTTCCATTAATTTGCATTATCATTTGGGTGGAAAAGAGTGTCCTGGGTTTAGCAGTAGCAGTCATTTTTCTCTTTCTTGGTAGCTGGTGCAGTGCTGTGTTTTGACTTTCAGACTGGGAACAGAGCTGGTAAAAATGATGTTTTGGTTTGGCCAAGGACTTTGTGAGCCTCATGCTCTGCCAGGGAGGAGGGAAGCTGGGAGGAAGCAGAGACAGGACACCTGACCCAAACTGACCAAAGAAGTATTCCATACCACAGCACATCATGCCCAGGAGGTAACTGGGAGTTACCCAGAAGGGCTAGAGTGGACTGCAGGGTTGGAGGAGGTATCGGTTGGTGCTTGATCGGGCTGGGGGTGCAAGTTATCGGTCACCTGGTGATGGGGTGTTGTATTCTCTTCCCTTGTTATTTCCTTTATCATTACTATTATTGGTGGTAGAAGCAGTGATTTGTGTTATACCTTAGTTACTAAACTGTGCTTATCTCAACCCGTGGGAGTTGCATTCTTTCTGATTCTCCTCTCCGTCCCTCCAGGAGTAGGGGGAGGGCAAGAAGGGGGGGGGGGGGGGGGAGTGAGTGAAAGCTGTCTGGCTGGGGTTAAACCACGACAAAGAGAATACAATCACTCTAATGAGAATTTATTCCAGATGAAGATAATGCTTGTTCCTGAGCCACTCTAAGGCTCTATCTTTTCTTACACAGAATCGCAGAATCACGCAATAAAAGATCCAAGAGCCTTTGGATCCTCCTCTTTTCCCCACCCAAGCACAAGGCCCAACAGCAGCAGCAACAGTAGCAAATCAGACAAAAAGCTAACTACACTGGAGGCTGTATGGTAAATGTGTTGCCATAGTTGTGCATATTCAGCTGTCTGTGCATTCATCAGCATTAACTCATTCCCAACCGTTTTCTGTGGAGACAGTATTCTCACAGGAGAACGCATAATTGGTGGAAAAACTGAATAATCCTGAAAGATACAGCAAGGCCGTGAGAGGCCCGAGGAAGCTTAAGCAAGCAAGATAAGAAGAGCTGTAATTCACTGAGCTAATGAGAACTGTGGACTGTTGGCAAGCTTTCGAGGTCAAGTTCTCACACCTGTGCTTAACCAATTGTGTGTTAGTTGCTAAGGGTCTTCAAGATATGTATCCAATCATAATATGCCAAATCACTGTAAGTGCCTGTAAGAAATGGTATATAAGGAGTTAAAGCTTTGTAATAAATTGGCATTCGCTGATCACATTGATCGTTCCTGCGTTGTCCGTGACTCCCGCATCGAAAATTTTCTTTAACTAAAAAAGAATAACATGTATTCTATGATACTGTGCATGTATACTGTCTTCTCTGCTAATAGTAATCATCCACATTATTTTCAGGGACTTAAGGGAAAGCCACATTTTAGATGTTAATGTTGTCTTTAGCTGAAACTTCTAGATGTTACTCTCGCTAAGCAGGAGATACAAGATGGGAAAGGAGGAGGAGAGGATGTCTTGGTGCTGAGGTTATCCACCAAGAGCTCTGAAGGGGACCTTAGGTTAGATCGTTTCACGCTAATGCATAAATATGTTGACTTTGTGTGCCAACCTCAAGGAACTCAAAAGCCTTCATTAAAAATAAATAAGTAAAAATTGCTTTGTGTATTTGTTTCCCAGCTGGGGAAGGGATTTTTTATAACCCCTGCTCCAGGGGTATGCCAATGCAAACAAGTTGGCTTTGCAGAATGACTGGCGTGCCCCAGACCAAGCTGACTATGGATGTTCCTCCTCCAGAAGGCATATCAGCCAACAGGGGAGTCTTTAACATAAAAAGTTGTCATCCTTTTCAAGCCCTCAGCAAGTTCAGTAGTTACCAAAATAGATGTTGTTTTCATTCAGCTACCAGCACCCTGCTGTTTTATTATTCCTGGCTGTAGCAAGAACTTTACCACTAAGCTGTGATGATGAAAAGACTACCCCATGGAGGATTTCCAGAACATGCTTGTTTCCTTGAGTGCCCCCCACTAAGATCAGTTTTACTCCAAAAAACCAAAAGGTCTGGATGCACTGACATATTCCATCACCTTCACACCACTGATGTCATAACCCTAAATACTACCTTGAGGGGCCTTGCCTAAGCACACTGAAGATCTAAGCACTATCCCTCCGTCCTTAGCTATGGCATATTTCCAGAAACTAATTGTCCCTTCCTGCAGAGGGAAATAGTGAAGGCTTCCATTAATGGCTGTGTAATATCAGTGAGGGCAACTAGATGTCAATGCAAAGGCTTTTTCATACTAGAGCTGTTTTCATTTCCTCTGGGTAAGCGGGCATTACACAGAGCAGATTATATTATCATTTTAAATTGCCATTAAGAAAACAGGTTAATCTCCTATGCATTTGTCAGTAATACCAAAAAGAATCTATCTTTGCAGACAAGCAAAGACAAGACAACACACTTTGCCTGTATTGGTCCTTGTGCTTAAGCACAGACCACTGTCTCTTTGCTATCTTTAAAATATTTCTTTAAAATTATCCCTTCTCTGTAGCCAACAAAAATTTGTAATGCCTATCTTTCCAGGGCAAAATGCAGTGCATGGAAACAGCGCATAAGAATAGTTTGCAAACAACAAAGGAAGCAAAAGAAATAAATACACTACCTAGCATCAAAAAATTAGAAGCCTTCTTTTATTGGGCAAAATAAAACATAATTTCAGGTAATTACATTCTGGAACTCCAGGTTCCTCTCTACCACAGATCACAAAGCAAAGCAATTGACACCACTTATAAAAATAAGAACAAAAAAATGCCAGGGATGAAGAGATGTTTCAGAGGCGGAATTTTGCAGAAAATTTGAGCACATCTAAAGGCCACTTTAAACACATGGAGCTGAAATACCATAGCACACTAGCACTTCAGCACTTAAGCACTGTCCCTCTTTTCACTACACCTAAATTAGATGCAGTGAAAAGAAGGGCAATGTGCAACAGGGAGCACAGGTTTACCTGGCGTGTACTTCTTATTCTCCTAAACAGAGAATGAAACACAAGGTAAAAAACATTCTTCTGAGTCTCCTAAGAGACATTCGTGATAAACAACCAGCAGAACAGAAAGCAGATTAACCAGAGCAATAACTATGAGAGTGTGAATGCAATAGTGCAGCACACAAATAGGCAGCATTTTGCTTTTCTATGGTAACAGACTCAGTGCATAGCACATTTATATTGTGGTGACTTGCAAAAATTAGTCAGAATTAAGGAGACTTTGTCCTGCTTACATTAACACAAATGATGAATTGATACCAGGCAATAAAGGGTTAACATTGTGCCTGCTTGCTTAAGCAGTCGCTGTGCTTGGTGAAGCAGAACCATAGGAGTTAAAGTTGCTAGAATGGTGAAGCAGAATTGTAGGAGCTACAGCTGCTAGGCAGAATTGTAGTAGATAAGATTCATAGCTTAATATTTAAGACGTTCTTGTTCAAATAATATCTTTAGAAAGAAAAGGATCAAAAGATAGCCAGAGTAACAAAATTTAAAAATTGACAAGTTTCTACTTTAAGATACGTAAAACTGGCTTGTACCGAACCTGAGGTTTGGACTGGAGCTGAAACCCTACTGAGTCTGTGTGAAGGCAAGAAGTTACTCGTGGTGATGAAAAGGAACTACAGGCCTTCATCCTCACGATCCCCTAGAGACCACCACCAGGAGGCACTGCACAGGCACATCAATGGGACGAATGCCAGAAAACTAATTATAATACTAGACGGGAATAGGTTTTGCATATGTATTAGGCATTAAGCAATCTCATGTTTAGGTAATCATTATATATAATATAAATGAACTAAGTGGCAAAGAGAGGTGCTCATGCTTTTGGAGGAGAAACCCCCATGCGCCTCAGCACTGAATAAAGCATACTTACTTTACAACTCTAATGAGTTGTGGAGTCAATCCACATATCAGAATGAGGTTCCCAGAATAAGGCATCCATTCACATTTCCTAACCAGACTAAGTGAGAAGAAAGCAAAGACTAAGCATTATGGTTCCAGTTTGCAGGCCTTAGTGTGGTATTTCACAACATGGACTCAAGTTGATGCAGAGACTCAAATCCTCATTTATTACCACCAAGCCCTTTTTATCCCCTTGTTCAGTACTCTTCCAACCTGCACATACATACAACATTCAAACTCACTGGCCCCTGTAAAACTCTCCAGGTAAATAGTCCAGTTACAAAGCTACAGACCCTCTCACAACCCCCACACCCTCTCACCTTCAATGCCCCCGGCTTATTGCCCCAGGGCTTGTCAAAGCACCAAGGCCTCAGAGCTCATTCTCAAACTGTTCTTCATGGAAATCTTATCGCCTTCACTCCCCACACCTTAGAACAGATGAAATGCTTTACTTAACATCTGCAGTGGGACCCAGTTCTTTATGAAGTCTCTTAGTTGCAGTGCCAAGTGAATATTTATCACTGTCCCAAATAATCTGAGATAACAAACTGGGCAGTAAGGAGCTCAGCAAAAAACACAGCTCATTTCAAAATCTGTGAAAGAATTTTTGCATAGTGCTTACTGAGATGGAGACTCACCTTGGGGTTTTACAACCACCTTGAACAGAACTATCAGACTACTGCTGAAATACTGTTCTGCCCCTCATTCCTGTAGTGCACCAGTACTTGCTACCCTAGCTTCACCATTAATAACTCTTCGGCCAGTTGTTAAAGGAATGGGCAGCAGTGTGGGAGGGAGGGCCTTCCCCCTATCTGTGGTGACACAGCTAGACTGGCCTAAGCCAGCTTTGAAAATGTACCCTTAAATTCTGCTAGGCAGTATGAAAAATAGCAGTAATATTGAAGTAAGCGCACAATATTTTCCAGTGTTTAGTTCTACTGTAAAAAAAAAATCCTTATTATTTTCCTTTGAGACAAAGGGGCACAAAATCACAAAATGGAATATAGAAACCTTTAGAATTAGGTTTATGTAATGTTAAGTTTGATGGCTTTGTAACAGTAGCAATGGAAAATTACTGAAGTGCATGATACATAGAGAAAAAAGAGTACAGCTAGAGAACATACCGAGATTTCTCACAAGATAAATTGTTATAGTTGACATAGTTTTTAAGAAAAACAGGACAGAGGGATAAGGAGTATCTGGGAACCACAGGTGTCCAGGATGGGCTACAGTTAAACTAACTGATAAGTAGGAGGATAGGAGGATTATTATGTCTCTAGTGCTAATGAACCAATTAAAAGGGTATGAGCATCTACTGCGCGTGCTTCAAAGGCTGCCAGAAGTGATGAAGATTGTTGGAAGAAGTAAACAACCCTCAGAGACCACCACCACAATTCTGTACTCATGAGGGAAACTTTCTGGAAAATTATGTACTCCATACGTAGCCTCATGAATATGTATGTATGCCCAGGGACAGCTTGTGTGGCAACTGGGGGTCACATGTTAGGAGGAGCTATCCCCTGTGACTCCCGGTGCTGCAATAAAGAATACCTGCTTGTCGGCGTGAAAACTTTGTTGGCAAGTTTTGTTCCTGGAGTTTTCTCCGAATCACCTTTTCCCTTTTATGGGACATAACATTTTTGCGATCTCGATACAGATTTCATGTGAAATTATGGTTCTGGACTTACTGTTTCTTATATTTTTTTAACATCCTACTGTCTATGGAATTATCATATCACCAAAGGGAGCATTCCTGACACCAGACAAAGCCTACTGTGAAGGAAAACAAACATCTGTAGATTCAGAGTCACCGCCTACAGTCTGCATATACTTGTCACCTGGTTCCAGAGTGAACCTGAGTTTGGTCTTGGTTCTGATGCTCTGTGAAGTCTGGCTCAGCTTACAACTGCTTTAGCATGTTGAACACACAGTCTTGAGAATGTTTTCCCAAGAAATCCTCTGGTCTGACAGCTCCTCTAACCACAGACCTGAAGGTGTTCCACTCTTCCAAACCCTTAAACTTCCCATTAGTAGTAAAGTTAAGTCTTAAAATGGTAATCTCAACTCTAAAGCACAATAGGGAAATAACATGAATTCAGAAGCCTTTGGGAGAAATGCAAAATATTTGGCTTCCAGTTGGCTTCATTACCAAATGGTCAACGTAGCTTAAAATCCGTATTCTGCAAATGAAACACAACCAAGTCAGCAAGATGTGCTGATGAGAAATCAAAATTCTAGAATTCAAATGTAACATTAGTGGTCCCCCTTTTCTTCTAATTAGAGAACAATAATTTGTTACATTTCATTACTATAAAGTGCAGTTCATTAAAAAGTGATGGACAGCTACGCAAATGCCTGAACATAGTTGTTGTGCATCTTGAGGGTGAGCTCTGGCAAAAAAAAAGAAGCAAACAAGCAGCCACATTCATCCTAGGTTTACACTTCTCATAAAACTCAGTAGCAGTAAACTTTGCCTTCCCACCACCTCGTGCTGGCCATTGCAGGCACAGGAGGGATATAGCTACCCTACTCCTGCATTCATGTCCATCTCTTCCCAGGAGGAATTTCAAGATACTTCTTTATGTCTTCTTTAAAAATCTTTTAGCATCTTTTCACAAGCTAGGAAAGATCATAGGGATAATCCATAAGCCTGAGCAATTCACTGAAAACAAGGGTTTGTAACAGCATGGCATGCCCACAAGAAATAAGTTAGTTTGCCATACGATATAGCTTGAACACTGTGCTTCAATGTGAAAAGCAGTGTACTCTGCATTAGGTGGGTTTTTTTCTTTCTTCCTTGGCAGTTGGCAAATACCACTGTCCCTCAGCAGCACTAATCAGTCAGATCCTAACTGCTACCTTAAGTCCTTTTGGCTCATTTCCCTCCACAGACTGAAACAAAAACCAATTCAGCAACTGGGTTTACTGTCTTCTTGCTGACACACTGATGTTTATACAGCATTTTCTACAAAGGGGATATCAAAATGTGCCTAGTCTGTTGTCCAGGTATCAACAATATCCCTGATGGGAACTAATTTATGAAATGTATTGCATCTCTAGAAAACTTGTTTCCTGTCACAAATGAACATATGGACAAAAAAAATTGCTGAATAGTGGAAAAAAATGTGCCTTTCAGCTTTGGCACTGCAAACTTTTTCCATCTTACAGGCAAAACAGAGACAGATTTATTGATTAAAGTCTGATCTCTATTGGTCATAAAACAGCTTCAGGAGCCATCAGGCACAATTCAGTATGGCTGTTTTCCAGGCTTCTCTTTCCCATTGATAACATTCAGAGAAACATATGTTAATATCACAGAACAGGCACTTATTTCAAACTGGGAAACTACCTACCTTATGTATTCTCAAGTAAAAACGTAGTTAAGTTTTATATACATAAGACTTAGTAGAGGGTAACTATAATTGGGGTTTTTAAGGTTTCACAACCTCTGTTTTCCTAATGACTGCCCAAAGAATGTTTCTGAATCAATAAAAATTTGGACAATATACATTTCCTGTCAATGAATTAAAAAACTATTTTTATCTAGTATTTGGATACCTTGCAAGGTAGAATGGACAAAGAACTGAGACAGGCACATAGAGAAACAGAGGAAACAAGCAACATTTGAAATGAAGCAACTGTTAAAAATCATGTAGGTGAGTTGCAGAACTAGTTCCAAGAGGAAGCATCTAAGTGTATGGCAAGAATATTTCCCTGCAGAATTTATTGTTGAGTTTCTTCCAATTTTTTCACACACTCTTTTGATATTTTGGTATTAACAAAATCTTGAAGGGGAGAGAAGCTAAGTGACAGACAGCAGCAGTGAAGGTTGGTTTGAAATCTGCTTTCTGCGTGAGAATGTTTGTTTCTGTAGGAACTGCTCCTTCCCATAATTTCCATAAAAATTCTTTAAGTCAAGGCAAACACAACCAGGATGGAAGTGGGAGGACAAAAAGGTTTATTCTGCCTGCTGAAAACTTCCATGTGCCAGCCAGTAATTTCCCCAGTCACCAGACCCTCAAGCCAGGCTGTCCCACAAGGTCACAAGAATGGTGGACTTTTCAGTCCACCCCGCCTGTGAAATATGAGCTCACTCCTCTAACTGAGATAACAGGGTTTTATTGAGGAACGAAGTCAATAAAGCAAAAGCAACAGCGCTGGGCGCGTGACCATAGCCAGAGGCGCACTGATTAGCATTTGTTGCAAGTTTATATACTTTCACTACTGCATTAGCCATATACATATTCATAATTCTCGCTGTCCTGGTTTAGCAGTAGCAGTCAATTTTTCTCCTTCTTGGTGGCTGGCGCAGCGTCGTGTTTTGACTTTCAGCCTGGGAACAGTGCTGGTAACACCAATGTTTTCAGTTGTTGCTAAGTAATGTTCACCCTGACCAAGGACTTTGTGAGGCTCATGCTCTGCCAGGGAGGAGGGGAAGCCGGGAGGAAGCAGAGACAGGACACCTGACCCAACCTAGCCAAAGAGGTATTCCATACCACAGCATGTCATGCCCGGGGGGGGGGGGGTAACTGAGAGTTTCCCAGAAGGACACAGGGTCTTCGGGGTTGGACTCTTTTTTTGGCAGGTGGTATCGTTATTCTCTTCCCTTGTTATTTTCTCTTATCATTGTTGTCGTTAGTGGTAGCGGTGGTGATTTGTGTTGTACATTGGTTGCTGGACTGTTCTTGTCTCAACCCATGGGAGTTGCATTCTTTTGATTCTCCTCCCCGTCCCTCTGGTAGTGGGGAAGGGGAGAGCCCGGGGGGGGGGCCGGGGGGGGGGGCCCCCCCCGCCAAAGGCCTCAACTACTGCTTCCAGCCCAGCACCACTCACTGGGAGTAAGTGAATGAGCTGTCTGGCAGGATTTAAACCACGACACCCGCATATACGTGGGGAATATCATAACTAGCTCCAGGAACTTATCACCATAAGTCTCCTCCTCTTGGCATCTGCTCACTGCTCTCCGGTGATCATGGGCAAGCAGTCTTCCTCATGTGGGCAGGGGTCTTCAAGATGAAGTAAGCAGTCTTCCTCATGGTGTACTTTTCACCTTCGGCACAGTCGGATGCCGCAGTAATCACAAAACCAGCTGAAACCAGCCATATCTGTAATTTTTCTGAGAGCTGGCAAAGATTTAGAATAGTGTGACCTTTGTACAAAATTAATTGCAAGAAAAACAGGACGGGCAGACAAGAAGTATCCACAGCCACCAGATGTTCCGGAGGCACTGTCTCCAAACTGATAAGTAGAAGGATGGTGTGAAATAATTCACTCATGTTTAGTGAGGCCACTAAATCCTGTTATTGCACTACAGACTTACAACATAAACATTATTCTTTATCTTCAACCTAAGTTAAACTAAGAGTACTTTAACCCTATGTTTTCTAGGCACTAGCTTTCCTCATATCAAGTCCTCCCCTCCCCCTTTTCTTTTACCTTTACAAACTCTTTGCTATGTGACTCCATTTTGCTCAAGAGTTCTGGTCATTTTCAACTTGTTGTCTAATCTTGTGTCCTTAGCAATCTTTGTTTCTGTTACAGTGAACTCATACAATT